CATAAAGCAGATGAATTCTTTCAATAATCTTCTTAAAGTTATGCTGCATTTTTGTATGGGTAAAGGGGAAATGGGAAATCCAAATGAATGTCGTATGCAAATGACAAATGTCAGAATGTAGGCGTAGGTGTAGGAGGCAAATATGGGAATGGGAATTCGCATTCGCATTCCATTTCCATTCGCTAGATATGAGATACGAGTATGTGTTGTATATGCGAAAAACTAATTAAATCAAAGCAATTGCTGCAAAACGTACTACACTTTAATTAAGGCACAACAAATTGTGGCACAGTGGCAGAGCAGAAACAAAAACAAAGCCTCGATGAGCGCTAAATATTTCCTGCTGAGACGGAGACGGTGACGGTGACGGTGACGGTGACTGAGACGGACACGGACACCACCATCTGTGGATCTGGGCATCTGTGCATCTGGTTGCTCTGGCTTTTGGACCCACGTCGAACGGAGATTCTCTGGATGTCGGATGCAACGTTCATTGGTCCCATCAGCTGATACCCCATGCTGCAGCAGCAGCCACTGATGCCTTTGATGATGATTGACGGGCGTTGCAAGCGCGTTCGCTGATGCTGTTGCTGCTGCTGGGGATTGAAGATTGGGGTTTTACTTGACTCGTAAATTCGGCCTTTGCCTCTCCTCTGTCTCTGCTGCTATGCTGCTCTGCTGATCCGCTACTCTACCTCTGCCTCTAATCGCATAATCTTCGAGGAGACGCAACGATGCGGCGGCGTCAATTGCTTTGCACTTGCTCCAGAGACCCAAATACTTGTGCTTGATGTCATTTGCTGTTGCACATTTAAGCTACATCTAGTATCGTTCCTCTGCTCCTCTGCTTCATGTCTCTGGGTGTAAGGGGGTGAGACAAAGACAGCCACAGAGAAGAGACAGGGAAATCGAAATGGGAATGGAAATGGGAATGCCTGCTGTCTGTCTGACCTGCCCTGCCCTGGCTCTGCCTCTGCCTCTGCCGCTGCCGCTGCTGGGGCATTTACCTTGAAGCTAGTTTTTAATCAAATTTTCACATGTTTTTACCCTCAATTTCCTTTTTGCCTGCCTCCTTTTATTCTGCCTCTTCTGCCTCCTGTTGCCCTTCGACCACCTTCTGCCTGTGATAATTGTGGGCAACATCACAAAAGTTAGCTCCATGCCACATTTGAACGGGTATGTCTAATGTTCTGCCTAATTTTTGATACCCCCCTTTTTATGGTTTGCCACTGCTTAGAGTCCTTTGGTTTCTATGAATATTTTGAGGAGTCCAATGTCCAAAATGATAAGGAATCTTCAGTAAAGGCATTTTATGAACTTCCGTTAAAGATCTTTCTGCGATAATATATCCTTATTCCCATTTACAACCCTGTTTTCATCAGTTCACCTTTTAAGTGGATGGATTTCTTGGTTTGAAAGAAGTCTTGGATTCTCTTGAAGTGTCCTTAGATTCTTCCTCGGTCTTCTGCTTGCCATTACAGGATAACCACTGCTTCGCACACTGCACACATCTTGTGCTTCATTCCCCATTTTGATTATTTGTTTTATTTTCTGTTCTGATTTACTCTTCTGTTTGTTGCTTCGTTTTTTATGTGTGTGGTTTTTGTGATAGTTTTAGGACTTGCCCCGCCCTGGGGAAAGTGCCTCTGCCTCTGCCTGTGCCTGTGCCGTGCCTGGTGGCCACAAATTGTGTGTGGCAGACCGGGTCATGTTGGCACTTCCTACCCCTGCTCCTCATCCTCTGATGTGTGTGTGTGTGTGTGGCGATCGATTTAACGAGAATTTTTCGCTCGTCTGCGATTTTCGAACATTGATGAAAATAAATTGCCAGAAGCATTCGCCACCCCCTGCCCGAACATCCAAAAAGCCACCACATGTGTGAAACAGAATTTACGAGGCGCGAAGGAGGAGGCGTCTTGCCACTGTAATTTGTGTCTTTACAGGAAATGGAGTTGAGACCCACAGAAAAAAAGGACAAAAAAAGTATCGATGATTTCTTGTCCAGTTTTTTGAGGGTTCAATGGACGGATGCGACGCATACAGCAAAACAAAAAAAAAGAAAATGATCGCTAGGTGCGACCTTGATGAGTGGCTGCTTTTGTGCTTGCCACCGCTGACCCACTTCATGCCACCCCAGCTCCCGCCCACGGCACCGTGCAACAACTTTCGAGGCATACAAATGTTTCATTTTGCTCATAAATCTGGCAGATGCCTCGTTCGGTGTGGCGCAAAAATGGGTTCAAGGACACACGCAGCGGCGTTGGCAGTGGCTGGCGCGTTGTCATCTAATTGGATCGCCACATCGCCACAGAGAAATACAAATACAAATCTTTCACTCTGCTGCCCCATTTGTCTGTCCGTTTATGTTGCATGTAAATAGTTTATGTTTCTGCTTCTGTTTGTGTGTTCTGCGGTGCGTATGCGTAATAATTCATTACGTGGCATCGTCGCACGCCGCTCCTCTTGAGAGCAGATTCAGATGTAGATTCAGTTGCAGCTTCAAATTTATTTAGCCGCGTGGGCGGTACAGTTTGAGAGCCACAAAACGGCCATGCTGTTCGTGTTTGCGTTCTGTTCTATTGGGGAAGCGGGTTGGCTCTCCTGTGCAATAATCACAATAAACGCTGAATCTGTGTCAAGCATGCCAAGGAATTTGACCGATTTTCCATTCATAAAGCAATGCAGATGGCGCACCGATTATCGACTACGAAAATCAGTTGAAAAACAAATGTGCGCCATTATGGCACTTGGTGGCTAAAGGATGAGGGCTTGTGCCAAAAATTCCAAATGAAAGGGTAGACAGGGTTACAATAAGTAGCGAAATCTTTACTTTAAATCTCCATTGACTGTCTGGATTTCTATTCCCGCTCTTGAGTGAATTTTACAAGCCATAAAATCGACTCCGAATTTCTCTTTAAGTGGCCATCGATGAGGCCACAATATTATTATTATTATTATGATTATTATGTGTAACACACACCCAAAGATTCTGAAGGAAAAAAGCAAAACAAAACCAAAAACTCGCCAAAAACTTCACAAAGTTGTCTTATGGCACGTGACTATGCTGCACACAAAAGGCCCAATCCCCACTCCACCCTACCGGAAAGGCAGAAGGCAGACGCCCTGCCAGACAATGCTGTCTCTGCCACCAAATGTGGCAGACAAAACAACAACAGCAGAAATCAAAACCAATACAACAATGCCTCAAAGCCCGATGTGAAGTTTGTTCAACTGCTAAGAGAGAGTGAGAAATGTAAGCGGTGCAAATATTCTGAAACATAAAGATCTCCGGTGTTTAAGGGGCTGCCAGTCACAGATTGTGGTAACACTTTTTTTGGGTTGCATTCGTAAAGGATTCCCACTTTGGCCCATACAAATAATACTGAAACCCATTAGTAATGGGATCTGTACTTCTTCCAATGCAGCAATAGTTCTTAGGCTCTTCCACTAGTGACATATTAACATTAGTAAAAGATGTTAAGTGACTTTCCATTATGCCTTAAGAATTTCCAGTTAATTGTGTTCAAATTATTGAACATGGATATTTAATTACTTCACTCTGCCCTTTCTCATTCTCTCTTTGTGCCTTTGTCTCTGGCCTTTCTTCCCTCTCTCTCTCTCTTGTCGTGTCTCTTTTATTATCTTTTTAGTTTATCAGAGCATATTCGATAAGGGGATAAGTAGAAGGTGCTTGTCCCATGCACATTTGCCCCACATTCCAGCACTTCCCACCCGCCGCACATACAAGTGTCGGAAACGGGAGGGAGTTCGAAGAGCTGCAACATGGTAGGAAGTGTTGAGCGGTGGTGGGAACACACAAAAGGGGAAAGGGTAATAGGAAGAGCATCGAACATCAATTTCGTGTATAGATATGATCGAGGGAGCGGCACACACACACACACACACACACGTGTGGCACATGTAGCAAGTGGTGCACTTACATATCAGCCACACCACGCGTCGTACCAAGGAAAAAAACAGAAATACTCCAAAAATAGAGTCAACGATTATCAAAAAGGAAATTGTAGAAAAGAAAAGAAATTAACACTTGAAATCAGTTTTCCATTCGAAAAAAACAAAAGAGCCGCATTCGATGGGGTCGAGTCTTTTGATACCCTAAGAATTATTGGATTGCACTGAGACTTTTGGAAAATCCTCCAATTCAAAACTTCTAATCTAAGGAAAAACTCTGGAAGCAGCAAAGCACGATGATCTATGATGTATGTTTATGTATGTAAATTGCACCCATTTCGGGGCGGGGCAAACACCTGTTTGAAGGCAGTGTCAATAACAGCAACACTCAGACTCCACTCGGTCACCAGAAGACTAACAGAAACATTGGGAAAATCTGTTAACGTCCGCTGTTGTGAGTTTCCCGTGTGGTGAGAAGCTTTCTAGTCAGTTCCCTTCAAACTGGTGTGTGAAAGTCATTTTTGTGTTACTCTCAAACTGTGTGGAGAATACTTTTTTGTCCCAAGTTGCTGGGCATACATGGCATGGCAGTCGCATGAAAACTATTTACATATTGCTGTTCTACTATCCATTACTCTCTGATGTGGTAATGACCATAAAACTGTTAATAGTGGTGGATAAATACTCGCAAACGGTGGTCACTGTCAAACTGTAGAGAGCATGGTTGCGTGTCCGTGCTTAGCGGCGACCACAACCAAACCAAGCGCTGGGCTTCCGTCAGTTGAAAGCATAATATGAAATGCCGCTGAGTGGCTGGGGGAAATTGAAGTGGACAACAGTGTGATAGAGTAAAAAAAACATGCCAGAAGAACGGAGAATTACGCTAAATAGAAAATAATTTCCAGAGCTTTCGCCTAGAGTAAGATTAAGCACTTGAAAGCTGTGTATTTGAGCCAAAAAGAAGCGGAATGTAGTTCTCGAGTCTTTCGGGACTAGAAGACGTTTATATTTGAAATGAATCTCATTCATAAAACATTTGCTTGAATATTGTTTAACATTTTTCGTCCATTTTTGCTTTTGCTTCACAGCAAGTCTCGAACTTTGACGAAGACCTGGACTTTATCCTTGCCGACGATGTGTCCCTGCAACCCAACGGCAAGGTGGACTCCATGGCACTCCATGGAGTCGGCGGCGACTCCCTGCTGGATGACGATGAGGGCTTCCTCAACGACGATGACCTGCCTCTCGCCGAGGCGCAGCAGGCAGCGGACGAGGATGAGGAGCTGGGACAGGGCAACTGGTTCAGCAAGGGCGTACACCGTGTGCGCCGTTCCCTCTCCCGCATCTTTGGTGGGGATCGCAATCGTCGTGGTATCACTGAGCGGCAGCAGGAGCGTCGCCGTAGGGCCAAGGATGAGCGGGTGCGGTCGAAGCTCGAACAGAAGCACCGTCTCGAAGAGCAGAAGAAGCGTCCGAAGGTGATGATGAAGCAGGTGCAGCAGCAGCTGCACAATCGTGCCACCGATCCCCGTAAGCGCGCCTCCGAGCTGTACGACGAAACGGAGGGCAGCTCCCCCGATGTCGATGAGGAGACGAGTTTCTGTAAGTCCACAGATCCACCGCAGTAGGACTCCCATTGCGATAATTGATTCTGCTTGTAGATCGCACATACTTCACCATTGCCGAGCCCTACACGGACGAGTTTGCGGATAGGAACAGCGAGGCCTTCCTCAATCTGCAGAAGCTGCTCGAGGAGGAGATACGCAAGTTCTTCGACACCACCGTCGATGATGATGAGCTGGAAATACGCAGCACCCTGTTGCGAGTTGAGTGAGTTCAGCCATTTACCCCCCGGATCCATGTCCTTTAATCCATGTCCTCCCTGTGCTACTTTCCTTGCCGCAGTCAAACGGAAGATGGCTTCAAGGTGAATGTGATGCTCCAACTGGAGCTGCCCAATCGCATAACAGACTTCGAGGACCAACTGCGCGAACAGTTGACGACCTACAGCCGACTGGGACGATTGGGTGCCTTTGCAGATGATATATTCACCTTCAAAAAGGTTCACGGTAAGTCTCTCTCTCTCTGTGTGTGCCTGTCCTCAGTGTCCTTCAGTCTTTTTCTACTGCTGCTGCTACTGCTGCTGCTGCTGCTGCTGTTGCTGTTACTACTACTACCTTCTGCTGTCTATCATCCACCCTGTTCAATCCTGAATTCCGTATGTAGAAACCATGTGGCAGGCAGCAGTCCCCCCAACAACAACGACACCACCACCACCGCCGATGGAAACACCAGCATCACCACCAGCCTTTAAGGCGGGATGCGATGGCCCGGACTTTACCTGCGCCAATGGCCAGCGGATCCATTGCTATGACCTGTGCAATGGTCGAGAGGACTGTCAGGATGGCTCAGACGAATGGGAGGGAACCTGTGGCAGATACTACATCGGTGTGGAGAACTATAGTCTACTCTGAGACTAACGTGCAACTAACCCCCTGCCTCATATTCGTGTGTGTGTGTGTGTGTGTGTCCGCTCATCGTTTCTGTGACTCCGTAGGAGGAGTCTTGCCATCACTTCCAGTTGCCTTGCCGCTTTCGCTTCCACTCTATTGTGATTGTCTTAGTCCACGTTTCCGTCTTCTATTATTATGATGTGTTGCTCCACATTGAAATGCTCCATCGATTGCTAATTCCATTTGTGACTTCCAAACAAAAACAGAGCCCACCGATCAGAGCGATCCCAACGATCCCAACGATCCCAACGAACCCAGCGATCCCAACGAGGATCAACCTTCCCACGAGCCCACTGCCAGGCCAGAGTCCGATGTCGAGGGTTCGGGCCACAACAGCTGGAACAGCGACTTGGGCTGTCGCGGCGATGCCACATTCATCTGCCATGTCAGCGGAAACACCATCTGCGACGAGATGCGATGCGACGGCGTCTTCAATTGCCAGAACGGCGAGGATGAGGAGGATTGTTACCCGCAGACCAACAGCGATACCCGTCCTGGCCTGGGTAAATGTCAAAGGAGTTTTCATCATCGAATCGGATCGAATCGAATCGGATCGATTCGCAGCTCAAAACATCTCTAATACCGCATAGATCAGCTGTCCATCGCATACTAAAACTCTAGATAGTCGTTGAATCTGCCAGAACTCCATTCCCCCTTCCCCATTCAATCAACAAATCAGCGATTGACGATCGATAATCTATTGCCTGGCAAACATTCTTGCTTTTACTTATCGAAAAATGATTCGTTCTGATTGTCGAACGCCGATCGCTGATGCCTTCGTTCATTTCTCATTTCTCATTTCTCATTCCATTAATTTTGTTGTTTTTGTGATTGCTTCGTTTTAATTTTGAATATGTTCCATATTTATTTGCGCTTCTTTCGTGTGCTTTAGTTTGCACTGAAGATCAGTTCAGATGCGACTCCACCTGCCTGCCCCTCTCGTACCGCTGCAATGGGCATATCGAGTGCCGGGATGAGACCGACGAAGCCGGCTGCCCACAGCCGCCGAACAGCAGCGGAGAGGAGGGCAACCGAGGATCCGAGGCGCCCACCGATCGTGAGCCTCAAGAAGACTTAGATTCCGATAATCGTGAAAGCATACCCGAGTCAGAGCCAGAGCACGAATCAGATCCTTATCCTGAGTCAACTCCAGAGCCAGACACAGGTCGAAATGAAGTGTGGTCTCCGGGTGAGTGGATTTGTTATTTAATTTCATTTGATTTGATTTTATTGTGTCTTACATTTGCCAAAATTATACTTCATTTCGATTGTTTGCCCTTAAGTGATCCGTTCTCCTTAAGTTTTTAAGTTGTATTCCCAATCCCAAACCCCGACTATTCTGCTAAGTATTCCGGGACGGCGACCCGCTGATCTCATCTCCGAATCGCGGAAAACCATTCGACTGCGAATAAGTAATTCGCATAGCATTATTATGCTCTATAAAATGGCTCAAATAAATTCCAAATATTAATTGGCCCGATAAACTGAATATTTCCATTGAGTGGAAATAGTTTCTCCCTTCTCTATTTTCCTTTTCTTTCAACTTGAATTAAGTTTTGCCATCATCGAGAATTGGGTTGAATTTTCATACACATTTTTGGGTGATTTTCTAATGGATTTGCAGCGGCACTGGCGGGGAAGGGAATATTCTGCCGCACGCCACGTTCCAGCGTTTGCAAATCGAATGTATAAATATATTCTATGATTTGCATATAGATATGTTCATATTGTTGCCTTGTAAATGACCTTAAAATCTTGAGTATTATATTTCAAAGAATTCGCTGCCTCTTTCTTACCAAAACAATTTATGTTCATCCGTCACTCGCGTTCAATTCAGGGAAGTCCTTGTGTCCCTTTTTTTTTAATTGCGTTTCAATTCTAGTGCATCTCGAAGACACACATGCTGTCATTCGATTTATTCCCGACCCTAAAATATATTTATATAGCTTTATACAATGATTAATCCGAGTTGAGTGTGTATCGTTCCATTCATTCCCTGCTATAGATGTGCATCCTCCATCTGCAGGATCGTTTCGAATTCCCTGTGTTTGCCTTTTAATTTGATGTGACCTTCCTAGCGATTTGTTCCACGATGTCGTGGATATCAATGAACTTTTTTGGCTAGCGAGTATGCCATTCCATCATTAAAGTGAATATGGAAAACCGCATGCTCCTACCACACCACACACCTCCTGCCATTTATGAGTCCTGTGTGCTCAGAGTCCGCCCATTTGACCCTGAACAATTCGCGCATGCTGGGAAGCGGCAGCGGGAGCTCGCTGTGTGAATTGCAGCTAAAAAAAAATAGGATAAGAAACCGAAACAGCAGGCAAACAGCAGAAACAAGTGCTTTAACCGAAAAAAGTGAAATTACAAACCAACTTTCGCCATCCCCCAGCGGCCACAGCAAGAGCAACCTCAACCGCAACACTCTCCCTCTTCAGATTACAATATTGTATCTATGAAATATGCCACAAAAGTACAGAGGGAACGCCACAAAACAGAAGCAAAGCAAAAAAGGAACCAGAATATGTTTTATAGATGGTGATTTGGTGCCCTGACAGCCCCAGCAGCAACAGAGCTGAGAGTTCTTATGGCGTGTGTATGTGCTCCTGCAACATAGCAAAAACAATTTGCAACAGATTAAAATTACCCCTAAGCGTATTATAAACTTAAATAATCCGCTTGCAGCAGTGCCACACGCAACACACACACACACACAATATCTCCTCCAGGGGAGCACCAGCAGCAGCATCCCAGCAGCAGAATCAGCTCTCCATCAGCATCCCCTTGGCAGAGAGTCGAGTCCTTAGTCCCTGTGCGGGACATCTCACTCTCTCTCTCTCTCTCTCTCGTACTTCTGCTTCAGCTTTAGCTTCTCTGCTTTTACTACTTGGGGGCGTGTTAAGTGCTGTCAACGAGATTAAATGCAATGTCAGAGGTCGCCCCCCCCCCCCCCCCCCCCCCCCCCCCCCCCACACACCAGCACAAGCACCAGCACACACACACAAGCAGCCCGAAAAAAAAAACGAATCCGCCCAAAGTTGTGTCCTTGGAAATTTAATGAATTTTCAACACACGCTCTCGTTCCGGCTCTCCTCCAATGGCCATGAGTTGGGAGATGATGCTGAAAGGATGCGCAGAGTTTTCGGATACAAAAAATTAAGTATTTGGTTGTAGAATCCTCGAGCCCCAGGAGAACCAGGGATGATACGCATCCTACTTAAGATTTTGGGTAATTGCAAATATTTATTGAGATCGAAACTTTGGACAACAAATCATGTTTTTGAAGATCTTTAAGTCATCATTCTTCGATTAGTTCAATGCAAAGAGCAATTAAGTTGGTCCTTGGCCATTTAAGAATAAAACTCTCAAACTCTCTCTGCCTTGAATGAACATCAACTGATTTGCGGGTTGGCTGTTTCCATGACTTATGCCCAAAGAATCGTTCGATGATTCACTCTCACTCTTTGGTGACATTGGATTTTATTCGAACATTCCGAACGGCTATTTGGACATTTGGGTTAAAGAATCTTTTCAAGTCAGACACTGATTGGTCTTTCTTTCTGCTACAGTCTCGTGTTTTAATGCTCTCTTCATTCTAGTGGCTCTGCGGTTGTGTGGTTCTGCCACGAGTAGTAATCTCACGATACGTTCTGTGATATGTGTGGATGCAATACGAGAACATTACGATATTCTATGTATAGGGAACGATGCTCGTTCCGTTTGTTGTCGCTCTCTGAAATTTGAAACTTTTGCAATGTTTTTTATGATTGTTATTGTTGGTATGCTTGTTTTTTGGTGTGGTTTCTGTTTCTGGTTCTGGTTCTCGTTCTGTTTCTCGTTCTGTTTCTCGTTCTGTGTTTCTGTTGCTGTTTCGAAAGTGCGTCAATGGATGCTGTGCACAGCTTGCACTTGAAGCCGCGTGTTTATTGTGCGCTGTTCTGCTGCACTCTCCACTCTTGTGTGATTATGCAAACACCAGAACTCATGCTTGCCACCGAAATTGAACAGGGTGGCAGCCGGGCAGCGGGGAGGCGCTGTAATGTAATTACATTTCAGAGTCGACTCTCCATCGCATTCGAGTTTGTTGCCCATTTTGTAATTTGGTATTCAAAATTATATTTATGGCGCTTTTTCCATCTATCTCCCGATTGTTGTATGTTTTCTGTGTGTTTCTGCGGTCGCATTGAGTTGCTTGATTAAATTTGTTGGGCAAAAAGACACTTGGACTTGCCACCAGCCACCAGGCAACTCTGACTCTGTGTCCATGCCACACAACACCACCCACAGGTGGGTCGAGTCAATTAGCAACTCCATCGCCGCCGCCACCGCCGCCGCCGCCGCCGTCTCCGTGGCGGGGATCTTGTGTGTTAAATGGCTGCAGATTTCAATGCTCCGACAACGAAACGAAAGTGCCAAATGCTGGCCACATGGCGGAGTGCCTCGTATGCAAATTGAATTTGCCAGCCAGCCAGCAAGCCAACGCTTTTCGCTTTTCCTTTTTTTTCCTCTCTTCGTTTTTCGGTTTAGTTTAGTGCAGTTGTCTTTTCGCATGCTTTTCTCGACCCAACGCTACAAAAGGGCGAACATTAAGCCAAAAACAAGATGGAAAAACAAAAGGAGTCGCCGCAACACACAAAATATAGAATAAAAATGCACTTCAAAATGGCTCGAATAGACCACCGGGATACCTTTGAAATGTTCAAGAAAATGATAAAAGGCCACATCGCCATCAAGGGTAAAAGTGTCAAGATTCAGCAACGAGACCCGACCCCTTAGAAAGGAACGTTTTTGCGTTGTAGCCATCAATCGCTGTACAAATAGCATAAGCCTGGATGGATTTTGATGTTTTTACTTATTTGATTATTTTATTTTTTTGAAGCAAAATTTGTAATTGCTAAATTGTTCACTTACGGCAAAGCGCACCACCCATTGAGCATACCTTTGATGCTTTGTTTTGGCGCGGAAGCTGATGAAATCATAAAAAATCACAAAAGCAAACAATGGGCACCACCACCCACTGTACCACCATCACCACCCATGGGGGCAGTGCATGTCTGATGAGCTTTTCCATGTGTGTGTGTGTGTGTGTGTGTGTGTGTGTGGATAAAAAAGTGAAAATCTGTGGCCGCGACTTCCGTTGACGTTGCTGCTGCTTCCTTCTACAAAGTGTGTGTTGGGTGTGAGATTACTGCTTTATGAGTGAATGAATCATGAAATAAGCAGTGCAAAGCAATGCAGTGGGAAGGGGGCAGGGCAGCTCAGAGCCCTCCACGCAGGCGTAACAAGTGAGAAACAGCAAAAAGGCCCTGCAACATGCGGCCAGCATCATCGCATTGAATGGCCCAGCAACACGTTCCGAGGCACGAACCTTTGGCAACATATGGCCTCCGACAGGGCCAAGAGCCCACCTGGTTGGCTGTGGTCCCTCGTGTGTCGCGTCAGCCGTTTGCCGAATGCGCCGAACCGAAGCTCTGCTCATACCAAATGCCGTCATTGTCGTGTCGGATGGTGGGCCTTCGTATGCCCTCGCCTCGTCCGAGGGTTCTGTGGGCCGTTCGTTCGGCTATGCTGCCGTCGTCGTTGTCGTTGTCGTCGCATCGTCGGCGTCGCGTTGGCGCCTGCTCAACGCTGCTCGAGCGTTTTGGGGCCGCGCGCTGCAGCGCCGCGGAGCTTGCGCCCGCTGGGGCTCGTCGCAGCAGCGTCAGTTCAACGTGAAGCGTTTGCGTGTGCGTTACGTTGGCGCGTGTTTTAGCTTCAGTTCAGACTTCCTCCAGCTCTCGGCATCCACACACAGTCCAGTGTCCACACAGTCCTGTGACTGCAGCTTTTCAAATTTCCAAATTTTCCAATTCGATTTTTTTGTAAGCCAAAATAAACCCTTGAAAAGTGCCGCGAGTATACACCTACTTTTTTTTTGTTCAAGTCTTTTTTTTAATTGTGTTAAAAATTGAACAAAAACTAAAATATAAAAGAAAAGAAAAAACAGAAAACAAACAACAACAAAAACATAAAAGTGCAGCTTTTGGAGTGCTTTTCCATGTGGCAGGATCATTGTCAGCCCCAAAAGGATCCTAAAATCCTAAATTGTATTCCATTTTGAGCGGAAAATGTTCGTTTTTTGTGGCTTAAGTCTTTTTTATGGCTTTTCCACTCAGATTAGCGTTGTGCTTTGTGGGGAGCGTG